CCTCCAGAGATCGTCTCTGGTTCAGTCTGCAGATGCAAGGCTGAAAATCGAGTTGTCTGGAAGCCTAAGTGTTGGGGAAGGTCATAGAAAAGATGTGACCACCCATTGACCCATGAACTGGACCCAGGCCATTGGTGGCTCCACACGCCCTCCTCTGTCCTTGAAATGTGGGTTCTGCTTGCCTTTCCTACTCTCAGAGGCTGCTCCAAGCACGTAGGACACAACCTTAAGATGGTGATGTGGTGTTGAGAACACCTGCACAGTTTATATGACTGAACCCAGTTAAGGCCTCTATGTAAACTTTTAAGGTTTGGTAGGTGGGTGCAGGAGTCCCCTGTCTTGCTGCTGTCCAAGACAACCCTCATACATAAGCTCCCTTTGCTTATTAAACCTGCCTCCTGCCCACCTGGAATGCCCTGGCTCCTTCTTCTGTCTCTCCCTGCCCTCCACACACGGGGGCCTGTTTCAGATGGTACCCAGGAAGCTCCCAAGGAGGTTATGAACCAACACTAAGGAGGGAGAGATTACAAGGAGGAAAGAAAGACAAAAACAATTTGGAATTTGTGCTCAAGATGGCTTCTTGTCAACTCTTGCCATCATCAACTTCCTTGGGAAAAAAATGAATTTTAGGATATACCATTCACCTACAAATTCCGGTGGAGGGATCTCTCCACACTTGAACCAAAGGCATAGATCCAAAAGGCTGAATCAAGCAACACCAGGTGCAAGGAGGTTATGAAAATGATGTTCCAAGTTTTCCAAATGCACATCAACACTTTTTTCAGTATTTTTTCAAGACTGATATTTCTCCAACCAGTTAGAGAATCATTTTTTAAAACTTAATCATGTCTTGCACCAACACTGAATTTAAAAGAATAACATTAAGCATCTCCTTTCCTTCCTCGACTGCAGAAGACTTGGGATTTGCACTGAACTCCCACCATCAAGCCAAATGTGTGTTCAACAAATGCACTTAAACATTTGCTTTTGCCTTTCAACAAGGTCAGGTGAAACTTGTCCATAAATTTCTCCCATAATTCACAAAAGTGAGGGCCAAATGGATGTTTTCTGGATACATTATGATATATAGGAATTTAAAAATTTTATAAATCTATTATGAAGAGTCAAGCTGAAGAGCAAGAAGCAAAATGACCAACATACATATGAAAATCATTTAACCTTATTTATAATTTAAAAAAGTGGAAATGACATTAGGATAGCATCTTTCTCATAAAATTGGTAAAAAAAAATGAAAATATCAATGATGGTAAGGATCATGGACAATGATCGTATTCATATACCGCTGAGAGGACAAAGTGGTACAACCTGTCTGGGGGGAGATGTGGAATTCAGCAATATTTATCAAATGCTTAAAAAATTCACATACCCAGGGCTCCACCTGGGTGGCTCAGTTGGTTAGGCGTCCGACTCTTGGTTCAGTTCAGGTCCTGATCTCAGGGTCTCGGGATGGAGCCCTGCATCAGGCTCCAGGCTCAGGGGAGAATCTGCTTCAGATTCTTTCTCCCTCTCCCTCTGCCCCTCCCACTTGTGTGTGCTCTCTCTTTTTCTCTCTCTCTCTAAAACAAATAAATAAATCTTTAAAAAATTCACTTACCCTTTGGATCCCAAATTCCATTTCTATGACTATATCCTAAGAAAATAATTAAGGATGCATGCAAGCATTCAGCTTCAAGAATATACAGCACAGTATTTTTTTTATAATAGCAGAAAAGCAGAATCTAAGTTTTTACAATTTCCCCGTTTAGCAAAATATTGTATACCCATATAATGGAATGGGATTTTGGACCATTGAAAACTACACTGCAGATTTTTTTTATTGATATAGATACTTGTAGCATATTTTCCATTAAAAAAAGAGGTTACAAAAATGATGGCTTTATTATGGTAAAAAAGTGTAAAAGGTGAAAAGGTGCATAGGATTCTGACATTGTTAAGTATTAACTGGGCCAGAGAACTCAGGAACACGGGGCTTTTGCCCTGGCAAGTTTCCCAATTTCTTTCAGCTTTTCCAAAGAAGAGAAATTCAAGGAAAAATTTCAAATAGTAAACAGAGAACCAATTTATTAACTGGGTCAGTGCCTGAGATGATCGTAAGACTTCTCAGTTAAAAGTGAACTGGTGGGAGGGGGTGGGAGGCGCCTGGGTGGCTCAGTCAGTTAAGTGTCTGACTCTTGATTTCTGCTCTGGTCATGACCTCACGGTTGTGAGATCAAACCCTGCATGGAGCTCTGTGCTGGGCATGTAGCCTGTTTGGGTTTCTCTCTTTCCTTCTCCTTAAGCCCCCCCACCCCCAGAAAGAAGAAAGAAAGAAAGAGAAGGAAGGAAGGAAGGAAGGGAGGAAGGGAGGAAGGAAGGAAGGAAGGAAGGAAGGAAGGAAGGAAGGAAGGAAGGAAGGAAGGAAGGAAGGAAGGAAGGAAGATGAACTGGGAACCTCTGTGGGGCCTCTGCCTCCCCACCACAGCCAAAAAGCAGGGATTTCACTTGGGCATGCATCCAGACAGAGAGGAGAGTCAGACCTGACTTAGCTTATTGATCTCACTGCAAGGAATGAGAGGACCCAGTGAGGGGAGCCTGGGTGGCTCAGTTGGTTAAGCATGTGCCTTCGGCTCGGGTCATGATCCTCGGGTCCTGGGATAGTGCCCCACGTTGGGCTCCCTGCTCAGCGGAGAGCCTGCTTTTTCCTCTCCCTCTGTCTGCTGCTCTGCCTACTTGTGCTCTTTCTCTATCTCTCTGTCAAATAAATAAATAAAATCTTTAATTAAAAAAAAAAGAAAAGTCAATGAAAGTAAACTACTGGGACCCACCCTTTAATGACAGTGAAGCGGCCCATTAGCAAACATGACCTCATGATTAACATAGAATTTCATCAGTAGAATTACCTTCCCTAGGTTGGAGGAGTAGGGAAGGAGGTGTGTGTGCACGTGGGATAAAAGGCAGACCCAGAGCCACAAAGTCCTGCCCATAAGACGTGGTTTCAGTAATCTTCTGCTGCATAACAAACCACTCCAAAATGCAACTGCTTAAAAACATGATTGCTCACAATGCTGTGGGTTGATGGGGCTCTGATGTACGGTTCTGCCCCATACAGTGGACCTGTGCTTACTCATGCAGCTGCATTCAGCTAAGAGCTCAGCTAATGCCAAAGCCTCCAAGTGGACTCCAGGGTCTCACCAGTCATTCAAGAGTGTTGCCCGAACCTTTTTATGCACAATGACTAGCTTTAAAGTAAAAGCATTCTAGGAAAATAAACCCTGTTCTAAAAATGTGCCTGGGATCCGTCTGACATCCAGTGGGACATTCAGACAGAAATGACTGTCATGAAGGAAGAGATCTATCAAGATCCCTAGAAACAAGGGCAGGAGGAACACTGGCTTGGTGTATGATGTAGACTAAAAAGAGTTGGAATTGGGCACCCTGGATTGGTTGGTTTGTGTTGTGCATCAAAGACGCAATCACAGGGAAGTCATTTACTATCTCCAGATATTCGAGAGCCTGGGAGGGGTAGTGTCTCTAGGATCAAAGCCCCAAATAGCAGGGCATCAAGAATAAGAAAATACAGTTCGTAACAACCCCAACAGGCAAGCTAAGCTCTTGCCAAGCTTCTGTTTGCGTCATGTTTGCTAGGATCCCATTGACAAAAGCAAATCACAAGATCAAGGCAATAGGAGGGGACGGAACAAGGGCACGGACGTGGGATATATTGCCATTGAGGGCCATCACTGTAACAGCTCCTGCATAAATAATTCCAAGTGAAAGGATATTTGCCATGGTCAACAATGGTCACCCTTGGAGTCTAGACTTACACACTGTTTTGTCCTTTTCATCCTATGGATTTTCCTATTTTCAACAATGAATATGCATTATTTTTGTAATAAGAACAAAGCCAAAATTCATTAACAAATAAATACTACTGTCTTACATAACCTTCCCCAGAAACTGAAGCTTAAGATGAGGATTCTTGTGCAAGTGATTTAGTGCCCCCATGAGGAAACCAACCATAAGGGAGTGAGAAAAGCAGGTTAGGGCAGGCGAAGGAGCTGAGCAAGAATGTGATCTCAGCCAAGGTTTAGCCTCAGCCTGAGACCCCAAGGAGCTCTGCAGGATGAAAGGTGCTGCGGAGCTGTCTCACCATGAGGCAATGATACAGGCTTTTGTACTCCATTTCAGTTAGCCATCAGCTGTGGCTAACCCCAGGCAGGAAGGCGTAATCTCTTGGGCATCTCCTGGAAATACAGATCCCATAGGGAAGACAAGTTGCTGAAGAAGGGTGCTGCTTTTGGCCCTTATTAGGTAAGCTCAGAGCAGTTGAGGGACACGTGCACCCACTCCATAAATGGGCCCAAAATATCTACTACAGCTACTCCAGCTTATTCTAAAGGGCTGTCTCTGTAACGCCTTACATAACTGCCTCCAATGTCTGTCATACACTCCAACTATGCTCTCTAAACAGAAAACAGACATCAAGTAATATATATTGGATGAATCAAGGGTAAATATGTGAAACACAACATTTCCTTTTTGTGTGTATACCATGTATCCTTAAATATGACTTCAGAAAGTGGGAATCTAGAGAGTATACCAGGAGATTATAGAGAAGATATCACTCTTTCTCTTTGCATAGCTCTACAACTGTGATGATAAGGCAGATTTTGCTACACTTTCAAACAAAATTCTCCTCTGGGCTAAAATCATGCATGAGAAGTTTTAAGGGGGAAGGATCATTTTTTCTAAAGGTTACAGGCCTAAATTATAAACTCAAGTCAATAAGTTAGACGTCTAAAAATTCTAAAAACAGGGGCAGATAATAAGAGTGCTTTCTCAACCAAAACCACAACCTTCCCTCTGCCACACTCAGAGAAAGCAGCAGAAACTAATCTTTCTCCCCAAGTGGAAAAATGGGTAATAGAAATCTACCAGCTGCCTTGAATTCTGTGCACTGACAGTATATTTCCATCAATCTCATTTATTTTTGTCTGAAGTCTTATTTTCAGGCCATTACATTCAAATACCGAATCAGGCCATATTCACCAAGATGCTCTGGGAGGAGGAAATGCCTTTCATTAGCAGGTATGCTTATTTTCTGGGTTTTACCATCAATGATGACATGTCTCCACTGAAGGAGGGAGGGATGATGGTTCATAGAATCTTAGGTAAGAAATTTGATAGAGGTTCATAGAAACATGGAGATGTCTAGAGGTCTCTGCTAGGTGAACTATGGACATGACAGAGAAGGACCTTGTCACAAGGGTTCCAACATCACTAAATGGAGAAATGGACCAGAGAGAGAGAGAGAGACAAGCATTCCAGCCTGTTATAGTCCAAGTGAGATGGGGTGGGAAGCCAAAGTCCCGCCCACCTACCTTCTTCCCAAACCCTACCCACCTTCAACAACTAACCTATATAACTGACCAGAAAGAAAACAATTGAGGCCCAGAAAGAAAAAAAGGAAAGGCACACAGCTCTACAGCTAGCTCGAGACAGCCAAAACTGTAATACAGAAATATTATGACCTTTCCACATCATTGCTCTCAACCATTGATTAAACATAATTTTATTCTTTTCAATATAGGTGAGATGTTTTAGACTTTTTTAGAATTTTTTCCATATAAAGCAATGCACAGAACAATAGATTAATAAATCTTTTAACAAATTGTTTCTTGTTTGAAATTTGGATAATTCAACTGCCCTCATTTTTCTCAGGTAAGATTTGCGGGGGGCATATATCTAGCAAACTAATTTTCTGTTTCCAAGCTTCTGGTTCCAATTCCTTCTCTCCACCCTCACTCTTTCTCCTTCTTCTTTCTCTCTTTCCTTCAATTCCCCTCTCCCCCGCCCCCACTTCTCACACTTCAATTAAAAGCTTGACAGATCAGTCCCTTCCCCTTCTCGCAGGGGCTCACCACAGGCCATCTGGTCCTGCGATTGCCAAGAGGGGCTGGTGACATCTCTGTGAGATTCTGTGGGATACGAGGAGCCTTTTGAAGATGGGCTGCTCTTCCTATGCCTGGGAAGTTGAGGGAGATAGCACTGCACACTGACACTCCCTCCCCCTGAGAAGCTGTCTTTAGAAGAGGGGTGAGATCAGCAGGGGTCCCCTGATGGGGATCTGCAAGCTGACTCCACCCGGCGGGGGGCAAGGAAGGGAGAGTATTCAAAGCCCTGGGGGCTCCTCCCCTGGGTGTTGCCCATCATCCAGCTGGCAGGATGCAGCAGCTGCCAATGGACAGGAAGAACATAGTCTAGTTTCTACTCCAAAACCAGAAGTTTCAAGCCAGTTCTAGCTACTTCACTCAGAATACTTTAGGAGAAATCCCATTTAATGGTGCATATCTGACTGCTTTGACCTACAAAATGGACAAACCTAATCTCATAGGGGTCTACCTAATCTACCCTGTATAATGTCTCTGAATGACAAGGAAATCATGGCAGAAAAAGAAAATCTTTGGAAGACCTCCATTCATCATTTTGACTGCATCAAAATAGTGATTCAGTGTATCACTATTAACTCCGTGATAAAGTTTACACTCATCACAGGGGCAAGCAAAGCCCTCTGCAAGTCCTCCGCCTAATTGTCAGTAGTATTCCTTCCTATTTCCCAGCACCCACCCACCCTGTCCTCTCAACCTTTTCAAACCTTTCTCTTCCTCTGCCTCTTGAAGTTTCAGTGTTAAGTCATAGAAGTTTTCTTCTAACCTATCTCTAATTTATTTGCACATTGCATTTAACTCGTTAGTCTTCTTAAAAACAAACGATAACGTAAGACGTAAGAGTCATAATCAAATAGGATGAAGTTGGTATTTATTTCCAGAACTGAATGTTCATTTAAAATTGACATCACAAATTTAAAAGACAATTCTGAGTTTCCGTTCAAACAGTAATACCTTGCTTGTTCTTCAACCAGTGAAAGGAGAGCTATGTCGGGAATAAATTTCAATGTAGTGCGCTCTTCCATAGGGTTAAAGAAACTGACAATTATGCATTTTCCAGGGTAATACCACACAGAATCCCTGAGAGGAAAAAACAAATGTTTGCCAGTACCTTCAGTGGGGGTACTCATGTTGGATTTTCCTCCAGGAGTTAATCGGGTGATTGGTTTTACAGAAAATTGGTGTTTCTGGCACTGTGTCCTTCCATAATAGTGAAGAACTATTTGAATCATGAGCAAATCAGAGCCCACCTGACCTCCTTGCTAATACTAACATTACAAGGTTATTGGGGCTTGTTAGGAACTGCAAACATGTCCACTACAGAGGCCCGGTGTCCTTGACTGTATCCCTTCCCAGAGCTTCTATAGACCACATGTCCTATGTCACACTCTGACCCTGAAATGATTTATTTCCTGGGCATATGATATGGGATTATTTTCTGGGACATTACTAATAAGGACCACCATCTATCATATATTCCCTTCTATCAGAATGTGTACCCCTTCTTCTTTGCACATATCTCTTCTCTTACTTTTTTTCTAATAAACGCTTCCCCCCCCTTTTTTTTTAACTTTTAGAAAGGCTGAATCAGGGATTGATGAAAACCTGTTTTAGTTTGAGTTCCCCCAGACACATGATTCATGCCTTCCTCCTCCCCAAGACATAGATTCGAGAGCAAGTAGTTTATCTGGGAGGTGATCCCAACAAACATTCATAAGGCAGTGGAGAAGTGAGACAGGTAAGGAAAGAGCCAGAAAGTGTTCGATATCAATGAAGAGATCCTATGGGCAATTGGAGCTTAAATTGCTGAGGACCTCTGGGAGCAGTGTAGGACACATGCTTCAGAGTTACCCTACCTGAGGGGTGCAAAGGAAAGGGAATCTATACACTTATCTCCTCAGTCATTGGGGGAGTGGTAAATTCCACAGAAGTTCTGCCTACCTGGCAGAGGAAGACATTAAGCAAAATAACTGCTGGCAGTTGGAAGTTAAGGGGATGAGGGCCAGGAGTTGAGAGAGGAGTACGGACAATGTCTGCTACAAAGCTAAAACTCACTTAAGGGAAAAAGAAAAGCAAATGCATCAGGTAAAACAAAGTGAGAAAGATTAATCAGGAAAAAAAAAAAAGCTCTGTTACAGAATCCAGAAGTCTAGTTAATCCATTCCTAATTTCCAACATAGAGCATCCACAAATTATACCGAAATGGTACTTGTGGAAAAAGAGGCACTATCCTCCACGTTCTGGTTGAAAATGTGAGCCTTCATCCCAGTCTTTCACAGTTTTAGTTCCCATCACCTTCCAATTCACACCTCTTTTCTTTTTTTTTTAATGTTATTTTATTATGTTATGTTAGTCACCATACAATACGTCATTAGTTTTCCATGTCGTGATCCACGCATCATTGTTTTCGTATAACACTCCCACACCTCTTTTCTTCAGGTAGGCCCATCTCCTTCCTGTCCAGTGCGCTCATACCAAGCTCATTGTAACCATCATGCCTTCGCTCATGCTGCCCAGGCTACCTGCACTCCTCTCCACATCATGAAAACCTCCCCATCTTTAAGACCCAACTCGAACCTTCCTCTGCCCGATGAAGTCTTATCAACACTGATTGCTTGCTCCCTCCTCTGCTCTCCTTGCTAGTTGTGGTAGGCAGAATAATGGCCCCCAAGAAGTCCATATCTTAATTCCTAAAATCTGTGAATATGTTACTTGGCAGAGGGACTTTGTAGATGTGATTAACCAAGGATTTTGAGATGGGGAGATTATTTTGGATTAGCCAAGTGGACCTAATGTATAATCAAAAGTGGCTTTAAGAGACAGAAGAGTGAGAGTCAAAACCAAAACAAAACAAAACAAAACAAAAAAGCCTGAGGATGTGACCCAATTTGGAAACAGGGTCATGGGTCCTAAACTCAACGAGACCGGTGTCCTTCTAAGATGAGGAGAGACACACAGGGAGAATACCATTTGATGATGGGGGCAGAGATTGAAAGGATGCATGTAAAAACCAAGTAATGCCAAAGATTGTCAACAACACCAGAAGCTAAGAGAAAGGTGTGGAATGGATTGTCCCCTATAGCCTTCAGAGAAATCATGGCCTTGCCAACACCTTGATTTTGGACTTCCAGCCTGCAGAATTGTGAGAGAATGCACTTCTATTGTTTTAATTCACTTCATTTGTACTTTTGCTAACAGCAGCCCTAGGAAACAAATCCACTACATTATGGATTTGCTGGGAAGATTAAATGTAATAGTAGATGTAAAGTCCTTAGACCAGACCCTTGGCATATTGGAAGTGTTAAATAAAGATCAGTTATCATCACTGCTCCATAATTTTTAGCCTTATTATCATTGATTTCAAAAACATTAGTAGAGAGACTATTGGCACTATCTCTTAAGCATCTCATGTGCAAAGATCACTTCTTATACCTCCTCACTGATAATAAATCTTTTTAAAGTTTCCAGTTTTAACTTCTAATATGAGAGACATATAGAGCTATAGCTCACATAAACAGAGGCTCTTAAGGGTTCTCAATAATATTTTAAAAATGTAAGCGGTCTTGAGAGCAAAATGCTTGGGAAATTCTAGAAGAGACTCTAAAATTAGAGGCTTTATTTATTTTTAATTATCCAGGCCCTTGGTCTTCCATATGTAGTTTTCACACAAAATCGATGGTGTCAGCCCTCTGGGGGGGTTGGATTTGGATAGTGATACTCTAAAAAATTATTTTATGCTTTCTTACTACTGGCTGAGGTAAGAGTATCTAAGTGTATCTTTGTACATTTGTGTGTATAGTTGGGCACAACAATTCCACCACTAAATGACATCCCAGTTGAGACTTGAAGAATGAGCAAGGGGAAAAATAAGAGTCCAACATGCGCATGTGTCAGAGAAAGTTGAGTTGCAGGGGAAGGAATAGAAATGACATTCACTACAAAGAGTCATGACCCTTGCAGACAAGCCAGTAACAGAGAGATTCATTCTGAAATTCTCTAACTTCTTTCCCTCTTTTTTTTTTGGTTATTTTAGGAGGCATCAAAATCACTTTTAACATTTTGTACAATCCCCAAATCCAGGCAAAACTATCCAGGCAAACATGCCATTGCTTGGACCATGGCAGGGATTTTCTTTTTTGC